ACTTGAGGCTATATCTTGTGTCACGTTGACATAAAACTAGCCAGTGCACATATTCATAGCATTAAGAATCTGTATCCAATAATTAGCAAGATCTCATATTAATAACTTCGTGGGAATAAGAGGAAACAATGCCCAAGCAATACTTAAACTCAGGGCTGAAATCAACGAAATAAAAGCCAAGCAATAAGCAATACATACAAAGACTCATTGAAATGAAGAGTTGTTTTTTGAGAAAAATCAATAAAATTGTCAAACTTTTAGGCAAATTAAATAGGTGAATAGATAAGATCTAAATTAATGAAATTAGAGATGTGAAGGGAAATATTACAATAGACATTGAGGAAATTCAGAGAATCACAGGGGCATACTTTAAAAATCAGTATTCCACCAAACTAAAAACCCTAAAAGAAATGAATAAAGTTCTATGTATGGCTACCAAAGTTAAACCAAGTTTAAATAAGAAATTTAAGTGATTCATAACCTCTAGTGAAATAGAAGAAGTAATTAAAAGTGTTCTAACAAAAATTAATTAATTAATTAATTAAAAATAGTACCATCTGGATATAGGGCCCGATACTACCAAATCTTCAAAGAAAAATTAACATTAAAATTCTTCAATTTGTAAAGTCATTCTATAAAATAGAAACTGAAGAAGCATGTTCTTATTCTTTTTGTAAGGCCATTATTACCTTGATATCTAAGCCACATAAAGTCCCAACATAGAAGGACATATAAACTAATATCATTTATAAACATAGACATATAGATTCTCAATAAAAGACTTAAAAATTTAATCTAAGAAAACATAAAAATGATTACCCACCCTGGTCAAGTTGGCTTAATTCCTGAGGTGCAAGGATGGTTCAATATATGAATATCAACAAGCATAATCTACCACATAAACACAATGAAAGACAAAAACTACAAGATCATCTCATTAGATGCAGAAAAGGCTTGTGACAAATCCAACACTCATTCATGATAATAGTCCTTGAGATACTAGGGATACAAGGGGAATACCTCAATATAATACAGGCAGTTTACTTAAGTCCACTCAACATGAACTTAATTGGAGAGAAACTCAAAGCATTTCTAGTAATCAGAAACAGAAGGTACCTTTAATGGATACCTGCTGACAAAAAAAGTTTTTTTTTTCTCAATGGATTCTCAATGGTATATTAACCATACCTAGAACTAATTTGCCAAAACAAATCGAACCCAAAGGTGCTTTTGTAGACTCTTTTCCTCATATTGATTTGGGAATTTTTGTCTTATTGGACTTTTGCTTGAATATTTTAGTTTCTACTTTAGTGGGGTACTTTTTATGTGTTTCTTTTATTTTGTTTGTTTGATTTTTTGTTTGTTTGTTTTTTGAGACAGAATTTCTCTGTATAGCCTTGGCTATCCAGGAACTCATTATGTAGATTAGGCTGGCCTTGAACTCATAGATCTACCTGCTTCAGCCTCCCAAGTGCTAGGATTAAAGGCTTTCCCCTCCCTGACTTGTTTGATTTTTTTTTCAATGTTAGGCATTGTTTTTTATTTAATTAATCTTTTATTTAAATTAAAAACAATCTTATTTTACATACCAATTCCAGTTCCCTCTTCCTCCCACCCACCTACTCCCCCCCACCATCTCCCCATTCCAACCCCCATTCACTCCTCAGAGAGGGTGAGGCCTCCCACGGGGAATCGGGGAATCGTCAACTTCTGTCACATCATTTGAGTCAGGATGATTTTTTTCTTTTTAAAGATAGGGTTTCTCTGTGTAGCTCTGGCTGTCCTCGAACTCACTCTGTAGTACAGGCTATCCTTGAAATCAGAGATCACCTGTCTCTGCTTCCTGAGTGCTGGGATTAAAAGCGTGCCTCCTCACCACCTAACTTTTTTTTTTTTTTTTTTAATTAAGAAAAGGTTGGCTGTAAACATAGGGGTGTGGGGGTGGAGAGGTGCCTTGATCCTGCCTCAACTAGATGATGGGCCAGTCTTAGTAGACATCTTAGGGGAGGCAGTACCCTCTCCTTGGAGCAAATGGGAGGAGGGAGAGGAGTTGGGGGGAGTGGGAGGAGAAGAGGGATGGGAACTGGTATTGGATATAAAAAATAAATCAATAGCTGGGTGGTGGTGTCACTCGCCTTTAATCCCAGCACTCAGGAAGCAGAGACAGGCAGATCTCTGTGAGTTTGAGGCCAGCCTAGTCTACGAAAGCTAGTTCCAGGACAGCCTCCAAAGCCAGAGAAACCCTGTCTGGAAAAACATAAACAAAAACCAAAAACAATAATACATAAATTAATAAAAAAAAAAGAGAAAGTTGGCTGGTTACTACTATAACATTTTTTGTCAGTATTGCCTGAGTAGGTGACCAGACCCTCATCCAGCCCCCTGCTTTAGCAGCCATGACAGGCTGCAGATCAGCAATATGTACTTGCCTGACCTTGCCCCTCCTCCCAGTCACTAGGAGGTCAGATACCTTCACATGGCAAGGGACCAATCAGAAGTTAGCTGATGGACTTTGGGCATGCTTTATGGTATTTAAGGTAAAAGTGGTGTAGCAAGGATATGCAAAGCATAGCAACCACCCTGGGAGGGCCTATAGGCCATAACAACCTGTTACCCAATCAACACAGAACAGGTCCTCCAAGCCAGGCTGCATACCCCTAGACATTCCCCTTACTCTGCCCAATAAATTCACCACCACCCCTACTGCCCCATCTGGTCCTTCTCACACTTCCTGCCATGATGAAAGGATAAAGGACCTAAGTTAAAGACCGTTAACTCATTAAACAATAAAAGACTCTTTGCTTTTGTATTGGAATGGGTCTCTTGGTGATTCTGTGGTTCAGAATTTGGGTACAACATAGGTACATATTGCAGGCAGGTCATTATTGTAGGTTGCAGGGTTCATAACTGGGTGGGTAAAATTGATAATTTTGTTCTCTCATAGCCTTTCTAGTACCTTCACAACTGTGAATGCTACTTAGTAGACATTGTGATGGAAAACTTAATAACTAAAAGATATAAAATTAGGGCTTATGGCAAGAAGGGAAAACTAGAGAGAACAAGAATTTCTGCCAGTACATAACTCCCTGACTACAGAGTACAGAGCCAACATGCTGTTTGTTGTTCTTTTGTTACAGTTACAAGAATAAAAGCTGGAGAAGGGGGGGGCTCCCAAATGAGGGTCCCAAGTGAGTGGGGTCCCAAGGTAAGGAACCATGTGGGAGATCATAGCAGGTTCCATAGCAGGTGAGGGTGACCAAGGCGGAGGGAATAACATGCCAGGTAGATAGAGCTTAAATGAGGAGTTTATTTAGAAAGGGGAGTGACGGACATAGAGACACTGGAAACAGAAGAGGAGACAGGGGGAGAGAAAGAGGGGACAGATGAAGAAGGAGGAGGAAGAGAAGGAGGAGGAGAAGAAGAAGGATAGCTGGTGGCCAACCAAAAGCAGGAAAGAGTGTGGGGGTGTGCAGCGCTTGTTTTAACTGAGTCCCTCCGCAGTCCTGTAATGAGTGACATAGCGATGACATGGCCACTGAGCCTGCCTAACTTATAAAGAAACTTTGTACTCTGTGAAATGTCTGTAACTTGGAAACCTTGTGAACTGAGACTAGTGGTCCCAAGCCTCCCTTTCTCTTTTCCCTTTTAAAAGCCCTTCACAATTGTAAGCAGGTGCCTTACTCTTCTGATATAGTGAGGTCCCAGCTGGCTTGGTTCTTAGCAATAAAAGCCTTTTGCTTTTGCAGTCGGGAGTCACTTCCTTGTAGGTTGAGGAAACCCAGTAGGCACAATAGACACGAAGTATCTAGTTGAGCAGCAATTGGATTTTTCCATGTTAATTAATTACATAAATATGTGATATGTGATAAGCAATAGGGTCTTACTGTCAGGTGATTGTCAAGGGTGTAACCAATAGCATTGTGAGTAGCCTGTGTGTGTGTGGTGTCTATTGTACCTGCCTTTGGATATTTTGAAGAGTTTTCGAGTATGGTATTTTTAAAGACTGAATTTTTAAAATTGTACATTATAATATATGGCATCTTGGGTACAAACAGGAAAATTATGGTTTAACAGTGATGTGTTGTTTGTCAAGTTGTCAAGAAGTGAGTTTGTGTTGGCTAATCTTGGTTGTCATATTAAATTCAAATGGGAAGAAGTAATCACAGTTTAAGAATTGCCTAATTCAGATTGGTCTGTGGGCATGTCTGTGGGGCATTTTCTTAATTGTTATTTGATGTATGAGGACCTAACTTGTGTAGTTACTATCATCCTTAGGTAAGTGGACCTGAGCTTGTAAATAAGGTAGAAGAACATAAGCTCGGAAGCAAGCTGGTAAACAGTTGTTTCTCCAGCTTTCTGCTTCAAGCTCCTATCTTGAGTCTCTGGCCTGGCTTCCCTTACTAATGGACTAAACATATAAACTATAATTTCTAAGTTGCTCCCTAAATTACTTCTGGTTATGATGAAATCAGCAACACTGCAGCCTAAGTGTAACATTGTAGCATGGGCCTAGGCCTTCGGAATATTTTTTTTTTTTTCCAGCACAGTTTTCAACAACAGTTTTATGTTGTTTCTTAATAAAATGTTTGCTGTGATGTAACTGCTACCATTTGTTTGTTTTGTTTTTTGTTTTTCGAGACAGGGTTCCTCTGTATTGCTTTGGAGCCTGTCCTGGAACTAGTTCTGTAAATCAGGCTGTCCTCGAATACACAGAGATCTGCCTGCCTCTGCTGAGATTGAATGCGTGCGCCATCAATGCCTGATCATTTGTCTAGACATTATTTCAATATTTAATACAAAGATTCGTCGGGGGATTTCTCCTAGTGTTGGAGATCACAGATCTTTAAAAGGCTTAAATGAACTCTTGCGAAGGCCTGCCTTCACTTCCTAAGGCCTTCTGAGGTTTTTCTTTGGCTTTTATTGTAGAATCAAGTATCTCAGGGATCAGCAAGTGCAAGTTTTGACCTGAGGGACAGGAACCCAGAAGCGTCCCCTCCGCCGGGGTCCTCTGTGACGCAGAAGGGATCGCTGACGGAAGTGACGCTAACGTCCTGCGTGCAGCGGCTGCGTCTGGGAGCAGGAGAAGATGGCTGTCTCCACAGGTCGGTACCCATCTCGGTCCGCCGCTCAGGCTGCTGGCTGTCGGGCGGCCGCGTGGGCTGCGGGTGCGCAATGTGGAGGGCGCGGGGGTGGGGCAGGCACCCGCGGGACACCGAGCCTGCACTGCCCGGGGGCCCTCGGGAGCTTCGGCACAGCAGGCCACAGCAGCCGCTGCCGCAGCCGCGCCGTGGGGGGAAATGTGCCGCGGAGACCCGCCTGTCATTGCGGGTTAGTGAGGCCCGGCCGGGAGGCATCCTGGATGGCGCTGGGGGTCTCCGCTGAGATCCCACCTGACACGTGTGGGAGGCGTGCTGTATTTTTTAAGAGAAAAACTACACTACACTGCGCAAGACAAAAGCTAATTGCGGAACAATTGGTGCTTAGATAAGGGTTTGAACCCTGTTTACAGTGTTCGGTTTCCTATTAGCAGAGACTTGGAATCTAATATTGATGGGATTTAGAAATTTGACTTAAAAATATTAAGTTAAAATGGGTTAAAGTGGAGTTTTAGTATTTAAAAATGATGGCTCATAAGATTTTCTAGTTTTTATTGAATCTAAGTCGTAGAAATGGAAGAGATTGAGTGGATGCTTTTCATATTAAGCCTTACCTTCATTGTGCATTAGTGTCACAGACAGTAAACTCTTTAGCAATTTTACCTTGGGGAAATATGTTAGTGTTCTTCTGGTCAGAGCTAACTACTACCAAGGATTATTTTAAAAATGACACTTTAATGTTATAACTCTGATTTCTTGTTATTTGAAATCTATGTTTTAATGAACAGGGCCGTGAATTTTAAGAGTTGTGCTCAATACTACAAAATTTCAGCAATAAAATAGTGTATTGTAATATGAAAAATGTCTATTTGTGATTGCATTTATTTATTGAAACATGTTCAACACTACTCTTATAAAAATGTTCATTATTTTGAAAAGACCAGCAATTATGAGTGGCGTATACTTTTTTAAACTGTTTTGTTCTTGGAAATTGATAAGCTTTGATGGGTTATTTGTGTCCTTATTGCATGCTAGATACCTGTATCCAGTTTATTACTTTCACTGGTTTCAGACCAACAAAGTGGGAAAATTGAGCTTATGTATTTTTTAAGTCAGGGTCTCATGTAGCCAGGCTGGCCTTGAAGTCTAACTGAAAAAAGTTTGGAGGAAAATGATTCAAATTAGACTGAGAATTTCTGTTGAGAAAATTGAGAAAGCAAAGAAGTAAAAGCTTATATACAACTGTTCAGGAGTAGAATAGTATAGTCTAGTACTCTATAATGAGTAACAGAATTTGGAGTATTCCTCAAAGGATGAACTTTATTCTGTTTTAGTCTAGATGGTGACTTTCATATATTCCTTCCTAGGTGAATTCTTCTATACACTTAGTTCCTTCCCATGTGGAAATGGGTTTGCAGATTTCTCCTTTCTTTCCCTGAGTCAAGAGGATTTCATAGAACTTCACTTAAACTTTAATCAAGGGGAAGAATGTTTATTAAATGCTTAGTATCTGTAAAATTTCATTTGATTTAATTATTTCAAGTAATTTACTGTGTGAAGAAATAAAGTTCCGTGTGCTCTGTGGTATAATACCAGCACTGAGATGGAAGGGTAGTAAGCTCAAGATGGGCTTCGGCTGCATAATGAATTCAAGGTTATGAATTCAAGCCTGAGCTAGATAGTAACATCTGTTTCAAAAGCAAACAAAAGCTGAACACTTCTGTAATAGTTTTTTTCCTTTGTATTTTGTTTTTGTTTGTTTTGTTTTTTGAGATGGGTTTCTCAGTATTGCTTTGGAGCCTTTCCTGGAACTAGCTCTGTAGACCAGGCTGGCCTCTGCCTCCCGAGTGCTGGGATTAAAAGCATGCGCCACCAACGCCTGGCCTGTAATAGTTTTTAAATTTACAGAACATTGTGATGATGATGAGGGGTGCATATCTCACATTCAGTTCTCTCCCTTGGATAGCTTAGTGTAACACATTTGTTGAAATTAATGCCCCAATACATCAACATATTTGATATAAGTCCATATCATTCATATTTCCAGTTTTTACTTAAGGTCTTTTTTTGGTATCAAGTATCCAATTTAGGTACCATATGACATTGTAGCATGAAATATTAAATAAATTCTTTAGATTGTGTTAGTGCTGTGATGGGACTGTAGTTTCTTTGAAGGTGCATGGGAGGATTAAGGAAAAAATGAAATTTTTACCTTTGTGTAGGTCTGTGTAAGGAAAGGACACAACCACAGAAAAATAATCCTTTGCAGAAGTAGTCATTGTTGAGAGTACTAAAAAGACTAATGTGGCTGTATTATGATTTCCCTACTGCTCTAGACTATTGTGCTTTTTAGCCATGCCATTGTTTTCCTAATGTGTTTATGCCAGTGCTCACACGTAGTACTGGACGAGAATGACCTGAGCCTCAGAACTAAATGATGGAAGAGTTGAACTCTAGTGTGTTTTCTTCCTGAAACTTTCACTTCTGGCCTAGTAGATTTTTCTTGATAGTCTTGATATACATGTGTTCTTTATAAACCCCTGATACTGTGATCAAATAGTACAGCCTCATCATGCAATTCTTTCTGTATAGAGTGGTTTGGAGAAGTAAAAATGGCTATGAAACTTGTTCAAAGCAATTAAGTGGAAAAAAAAAAGTTATTCTGAGAGCTTTGAAAATGTCAAGACTAAAAACTCTGGTGACTACTACAAATGTGAAGAAAGTAGTAAAATTAATAATCAGCACAACTTAAACATATTAGAGACATTACAATTTCTTTTTATTTTGGGTGAAACACTTGCCAAAGAGTTTAAACACCACTCTCTCTTATTTTGTAATTACATGTCAGGGTATAGAACAAGAAGATTCCTTTCTAAAATTTGGTGAATAGGTGAATACTTTTAAGTTGGATCATCTAGCAGTATTTTACCCTTTGTCCCCCAGTGTTGTGAACTATCCCAGAGATTCCTGTGTGGAAGTTTTTCAGTACTATGACATTATCCTTTGAATATTTTGGTTGAATTTTTGGTTGAATTTAGAGCTTTTTATGCATGTTACGCAGCTACTCTACTGTAGTGCTATATTCCCAACTCTCTTTTGACTTTTTAATTTGGTACAGGGTACTTCTGAGTTGCCCTGAACTTGTGATCCTCCTGTCTAAGCCTTCCAAATAGCTGAGGTTACAAACCTGTAGTACCAGACCTATCTGAAATCATTCTTTTCTTATAACCTGTTTTTCCATTTGTGTGGATGTGAATGAAGTAACTTGGAAGGAGGAAGGAGAATCAGGAGCTTGAGGTCATCCCTGGCTACATAGTGCATATGCGTTTGGGTGTGCACGCGTGTGAGCAGATCACAGGGTACATGAGATCCTGTCTTATGAACCAAAACAAAGGGCTGAGAAGATGCTCAGTAAAGTATGTGCCAGGAAGCATGGGACCTTAGTTAAGATCTCCAGAACCCACATAAAGCTAGAGGGTCCCTAAAGTGAACATCTCTAACCCAGTGCTTGCCATGGCGTGAGCAAAACAGGTGGATTTCTAGAGCTTATTACCCTAACCAGTTACCTAGACCACTTACCCCAACCAATTAGTGAGCTCCATGTTTTGTAGGAAACACTTTCTCAAAAAGTGAAGAAGCTTTTTTTTTTTTTTTTTTTTTTTAATTTATTTATTATGTGTATAGTGTTCCATCTGCACACCAGAAGAGGGCACCAGATCTTATAGATGGTTGTAAGCCGCCGGGAATTGAACTTAGGTTCTCTGGAAGAGCAGCCAGTGCTCTTAACCTCTGAGCCATCTCTCCAGCCCCAGTGAAGAAGCTTTTGAAGAAAATATTTGATGTTGATCTCTGCTTCCACATATACCACATGTACTTTCTGTAATGATAGCATAGCATACCAAAGAGGAAGTTTGGAGTAGTTGGGATTGGTGTTCTTTCCACTGTGCTAATGGAAATTTATGCAGATGGGGACCATTCATAGCAGGCTACCTAACTCTGAAAACATTCACTTAGTAATTATTTTGGGAACTCTAACATAAAACTTCAAAGTAGATAGAAAACATATTGACTAGAATAATGATTCATTGCCCAAGAACTAATGTAAAGTAAACCTGAACTATGTGGAAAATAGGCTGTCAGATCATGGTTGGGGGTGGTGCATTGTTTATAGAGTTTTAGTTCATTTGTGTGAGAATAAATTTCATTTTCAGTTTAAGTTGGAACTTAATAAAGTTTCAGACTACAGAAGAGAAATCTTTTTGTCATCTGAACCTTAAGGTCCTTACAAATGTTGAATAATAGTTGTAATAAGCAGTATATTTGTGTCTTTGCTATCTTCCAAGCCAAGTTATTCTGTAGAGCAGTAGAACTCTAGTCATATAATGACTTTGTCAGAATTATTTAGATGAATAACCCAACAATAAGGCCAAACTCGAGTTATTGAACATGAGATAAGTAATACATAAACTTTGTTGCTAGCTTTTTGACATCATTTTGTAAATAGTTCAGGGCTAGTGTCTTGTGCACAAGATTCTTTAATCTTTTTGGTATCATACTGTGTTTTATGTATGCTTTGGTTTATTTTGTGTATATCTAGCACTGTGAACCAGGCGTGAAGAAAAAGAATTGTAAATTTGAGGACATAGTGAGTTTCAGGTCAGACTACCTGTGTAACTCTAAAAACATGGAAGCAGGGGGAAGAATGGAAAGCTAGTGTTTTTTCCATGAAGATAAAGATCTTTGTCATGATAGAGATTAAGGGCATTATAGACCATTAAAACTTTTTTTTTTTTTTTTTTTTTTTTTTTTTGGTAGGGGGGAGCTTTTTGAGACAGGGTTAGCCCATGATGGAGGAACAAAGGCTTGCCAGCCACAGCAACAGAGAGCTTACATCTTAATCTGTAAGTTGGAAGTAGAGAGATGGCATACTTGGAATATCAGGAGTGTTTTTGAAACCCACCCTCAGTAACAGGTCTCCCCCATCAAGGCCACACCTCCTACTTATT